TGGTTTAGTTCTGACTCTGGGCCCCATCAGGAGACCAGAACCTGGTTCTCAGAGTCCAGCTGGTCCATCTGCATGTCCATGAAGAGACTTGTTCACCAGCAGAGCTGTTTTAGAGTCTGTTCTCTGAGAGACAGGAGGCCGGAGCAGAGACCTGAGAGCTGGACTGATGTGGTCCTACTTCCTGGTTCTGGTCAGAACTGGAGCAGCTGGTTCTGGGTGTTCTGCAGCTGGATCACAGCTGGATCAGAGCCCAGTGAGCAGCTGTGACAGTAGTAGCATGGATGAGTCTTTCTGGGTCTGGTTTAGACACTATTCCTCTGATTCTGGCTGTTTTTGAGATGGTAAAAGGCTGCTGAGTCATCATCTTTAGCGTAGAACCACAAAGTCAGGCCTCCAAACGAGAGGAATCCACGTTATTTTCTACATCTTCTCCACACACGGAGCTTAATCTGCAGTTTTACCGGAAGGGTTTTCACTTCTAGATGAACTTACTCGTATTCCCCTCTGCAGATTTTTGGGATGGTCTTCTCCATGATGCTGTACTGTCAGATTGGCAGGAAGGATGGCGCCACCACCGCCTGAGCGCCGCCTGTCGGGGGGCGGGGGGGGTCCCCAGTGACGCATGTAACCTCCACCCAACCTCCAGCTAACCTCCACCCAACCTGCAGCTAACCTCAGTGCTACATAACTTATGCTAGGCTTTTAACAAGAAGGAGATCTGATATTTTGGTTGGTAAATGTTGTACAGAGTCCTAATGGACAAAATAAATGAACAAATAGATTAAAATTCAGTATAATCAACGATTTTAACAAACAAGTGCTATAATTGAGAAATTAAATGATTTTTAAAGTATAATAAAAGTGGAAAAACCTATTTGTTTTAATCAGTTGTTCTGCTATTGAACAAACGTGAAAAACTGAGAGCATTTGTTCAGATTAAACTTGTTTTACAGATTATTGGTGTTCCATTGAGCCTTTTTTTAACCTTGTGTCCGTGACGATTATGTTCACATGAAGGTCGGAAAGCCCAAAAATCACATTTCCAAACATAGTAGAAAAGGAAGACTTATTTATACCCTAAATTTGGTCATAATACAATTTCTTGAGTATTGCATCACATCATTTTATTGAATTATAAACTGAAAAATCTTGTTTAAGGGTGCAAGATTGTTAGATTTTTGGACGTTGTTGCTTTTTGGACAGCAGCGGCCGAACACATTCAAGTTTTGGATTCACCTCTTCTGTTCAAAATGCAAGATGAAACTATCATTAGGAAACAATTAGCCTTCGTTAGCCACTACTTTTCATCATCATTGTTAGAAATATTCTTACATTGTGTTTCTCAAGGAACAAAATGTAATTTTTGTATTCTAGTATCTTTTCAATAAACACTTACTGGTAAAGGATGTTTTATTTGGAACTATTTCTAATTTCCAGCAGTTTCTATCTTGGCATTTCTCTTTTTCCCCCCCTTTAATTCATGAAGAGATTCGGGGGGGGGGGGGGGTCGGGTAAAATGAATTCCAACTTAATCTATCATACAAGTCAAACATTGTCCCATGATTTAAAGTTGAAATAATAATAAAAAGAAAACGTTCACTTGAACAGAGCATATTCCAAAGTATGTATGCTCAAAAAGGAAATTAATAATAAATATAAGTATGTTTTTTTTTCTTTCTTTTAAAGTTCAAGTTTTAGGTGGTTCGGCTGAACATTTAAAAGTTTATTTAAAAAAAAGGATACGCTGTCACTGTTATGATGTGTAGTTAAACCAGAATTAGATTTCTTCAGATATTTGAGCCTCTAAGTGGATATTATTGATGTTTGGGCTCATTTTTTCCCTCATTGCCATAAAACTGAACTGAACTGTCATACAGAAAGTCTCCTAACTGTGTTATGTTGCTGGAAATGTGTTGTGGAATATGTGAAATATTTTTAAGATGTCAAGTTTCCATGAAATAAACACGATTGTGGATGTGTAGAATAAAAGTTCATCCATCCTCTGTGGACGTTTTTCTGTGAGGATCCGGACCCCTGCTGGTCCCCGGACCAGAGCTTGGTCCTCCTGTGGGGTGGACCTCTGCTGGTCCCCGGACCAGAGCTTGGTCCTCCTCCTGATGTGTGGCCGGCGGTGACACGGTGCTGAAACTCTGAGTGTCTGCAGCCGCCGCTGTTTAAACATTTCTTTATCTCTGCTCAAGCTGTCCAAACAGGATAACTGATGATGGGTCCTCAGACCTGGGGGGGGGGGGGCTGAATCCCAAAATCCCAAACCTCTGATCAACACCAGAGCAGAGCTGCCTTCCCTCTCAGGAATCCCAGCTCCTCTTCCATGACAGCCTTAAGTCTGAGCCCCAACCAGAAAGGAAGAAGAATGTTGTATTTATCCACCCTGCAAACACAAAACTGCTATTTTTTTTGGGGAACATTCCTACATTTTAAGATCTTTTTTTTTATCTTCAAGCTCCTAAATCCGATTAATAAACTTAATATTTTACCTCTGGGATTATTCAACTATTTCTGATTCTTGATTTAATCTGCAAAGACAATAATCAAGATGCTGCGTATAAACAGTCTGAGACTTCAGGCACATCTTGTATGTTATTCACATGCATTTCAATCTTTTAAAGTGTCAAATGTTGTTTTCAAGGTTTGGGAGAGTAGCTATTAATGTAGAAGTATGACCTGGAGATGCTCCCTGCCGGGTGAATGTTGAATTGATCCTGATTTTGCACGTTTGTTAGCCTGGGTTGAAGGTGGACTGTGAGTTCTGGGTTTCTGCACCTGAGATGCTGCAGGATGGATGAATCTGCTCCACTTCATGTTGCTGTGCCGGGCATCTGAAGTATGTACTTAACCCGGAGTGTCTGCTGGGAAAAGCCAGTGAGCGTGGACATGTACTGTACGTCTTTAAACGGGCACAGACAGTGATCCTCACGGTTATTTTTAGTCTAAAGTCAACAAAGCTCTCGCCTGGTTACTCAGATGAATTCCTCCTCTCTGTTTTATTCACTCAGTGGGACTCTCTGAGGTTAAATTAGTCGTTAAAACAAAGCCACACTGCAAGAGCATAATGAGGCTTTAGACAACAGATGGAGGTCATGGCAACGCCCGTTTTCCTTAATAGAAAACAGAAAATAGTCTCCAGGAGCAGATCCTCTCTTTAAGGAGTCTCCAGGAGACTTGCTCCTCTTTCTGAAGGACCTCACTTTCAGATCCTCTTCTTCTGCTGGATTACAGAGTTTTTCTTCTTCTTCTTCTGTCCTCCACTGGTCCAGTTTCCTCACATGTTTTCAGTACTCTGCTCACCATCTGAGATCTGCCCAGTTTTTAGCTAGTAGCTCTTTAGAAATCATCAGAAATCCTGTTTCCTGTCTGTCAGACTGGGTTTTTTACATTTAATACAGTAGGAGAAACCCTTGTGTTAACTGTCCTGTCATGGACTTGGTTTGGTACCTTCAGGGATTACATCAATTGCTCATAAAGGAGACATATGTAATTTTTCCGCGGTGAAGCAGTGAGCTATTGGACCCACTGGAGGTGTTTCAGCATCTTATCAGCAGAGATCAGAGCCTGGAAAGTGGCAGGAAGTAGTTTAAGGAGAGAGGCGTCTGGGCTGTGTTGTTGAGTCTGCCGGCCTGTTGGAACCCTCCTACCAGGCTGCTGCAGCTTTGCTGCTGTTTGGGGTCCGTTAAACACTCTGTTTGGGTCCGTTATGACTCTGTTTGGGTCCGTTAAACACTCTGTTTGGGTCCGTTAAACATGATGCAGCATTAGAAGAGTTGGTCTTTCTTGCCACACCCTCATCCCACTCACCGTTTACCCTCCTGTCATACCTCCATCACCTTTATTAACGTCTTATTCTGCCTCTCTTCGTCTTTGGCTTCCTTCTGATTGGATGTAACCACCAGTGTTTAGCTTTCCTCTGCGTTCTTTTTTTTCCTCTCTCCCATTGTCTCCTTATCTCTCCTCTCCTCTCCTCTCTTCTTCCCAAACTTGGTCATGTTCTTGGTCCTGCAGCCAAACGCTCCTGAGCTTTAAACAACATCCGTCTCACTCTCTCTCTCTCTCTCTCTCTCTGACACACACACACACACACGTGCACACGCCCGCGTGCGCGCCCCGGCCGGTCTGTTTCTGCCTCTGTTCCGGCTGGGCTCTCTCCGGTCCGGTCATGGCTCGCTGCAGGAGCTACTTGCGAGGACTGGCCATCTGTGTCACTGTGCTGCTGATGGTAAGCTAATGCTAAATGCTAACAGTAAGGAGATGATGGGGGGGTGGGGGGGGGGTCTCCATCTCTGATGTCAGATCTGTCAGATGTTCAGATTTAGACATATTGATCCATCTGCCTGTTTGGTCTTGAACAGATTTTCTATTTTTTCCATCTCATGCTGTTTTTTATGTCTCTTTATTTAAATTTTTATGGGTTCATGTGAAAGAAATGTTCATGTGTTTCTTTAATTATAACATCAGTTATATTTACAAAGATTATTATGTTTCTGTTTATGCATTTAGCAGACGCTTTTATCCAAAGCGACTTACAAAGTAGACAATTTTATAGTTATCATCAATATAAAAAGTTCTCTAGAGGAAAACCCCCAGTCAGAATCAGTGGTGAGAGAGGGGAGGCTCAGAAAGAGGAGGAGAGGGAATAGAGGTGTGGGGAAGAGTTGGGGAGATGCTCTTTGAAGAGGTGGGTCTTTAGGAGTTTCCTGAAGATAGACCGGGACCTGATGTTCCTTTCATGGAAAGTACCGCACCTTATTCTGCTTTATAAAACTGATGATCTCTGACCAGTTCCATAACAAAAAGGACGATTTCTGAGCTCTAATGTTCCAACAATGTGTACAATATTGCAAAACATTTTTTCCCCTCTTTTTCTAAATTTAAAAGCAGTGTTTTTAGACCATCAGAGGTAGTATCTGTGAACCATTTGAACATAAGAAAAAAAGTTGAAATTTCTCTCAAGCATTAAGGCAATATTGTGAAACGAGGCTGAATTCTTAAATGCAGGTTTGCTGCTGTAATTATTAATTATTAATATTTTCAACTGGAAAACACATCCAAGATTTAAATCTCTTTAAAGAAAACTCCATTTCTCATGTTTGTTTGATGGTTAATCTGAAACTCTTTGTGGGAATAATGTTGAATCTCTAATGGTCCTCCTGTCTACTCTTTCCTCTTCTCGTTTCCTGCTCTCCTCCCTTAAATCTTGACTATCTTTTTTCCGCCGCTTAAGTTCTCGTCCCTATTTCTTTCCCCAGTCTCCTTAGTCTGTCAGTCCAAAGTTTACCCATAAATCTTTCTGATGGATTTAAAAAAAAAGACAAAAGAAAGGTAGCCTCTGTGGGTTTGACTTCTGATAATGGATGCTATGGCTTATTGTGATGGCATTCTGTTTATGGAGTCATTTCAGTTTGGGGATTGAACAATGTTCCTACTGCTTCCTGTTTTTGTTGCTGATCACGGTGATTATGCTGCGTGCCCGGCTGTAAATGAAAGACTTTCACCTCTTTGTTACCACCAGGAAGTGGAGTCAGCTCAGGACATCTGACTGCCTCGTTTATAATTTTCCATCAAAAGCCATGCTTTTGGACAGTTCTGTCAAAATCCACTCCCCCTACGTATTGTCAAGCTCTCAGAGAATATAAGCTAATTCTTCCAGGTCTTGTAGGACCTCCTTTAGCAGCAGTCAGGTGGTTTCTGGGTGGTGTTATCAGCCTCTCGTAGCTGTGGAGGAACAGGGTGCCTCTCTTCTTTCTGGGGTTCTCCAGGTCTTTGAGTTTTACAACTTTGGTTTGTCAAAAGCTGCAAAACTCACAATCACTGAGCTCCTGGATGCTGCTTCAATTCTGAATCTTTGTGCAAACAGAAAGGTAGGGCTTTGTTTTTTCTGTGTTTTCTCTTAGTTTTTGTCCCTATATCAACTACACAGTGTAGCGAATCAAGCTTTATCTTGAAGGCTGGTGAGGACCAGGGATTCACCGATTTTCGCTAATACCTTGATGGATAAACCTTGTTTATATTGTGATCGGTATTTACACCATACATCACTTTCTGCTCATTTTGCAGACTCTGTGTGAATTTTGATCACACGTGAGATAGTTTTCAGTTGTTTTGATACTGTTTACATGCCTTTGTAACTATTTGGACTCTCTCCCTGTTTGGGTCCTGGTTAAATGGGTTTGGTTTTAAACGGGTATCCCCCCAGAGAGCTGTGGCACAGTCACAGCTCGGTGAGCCCAGGACACACACACACACACACACACACACACACACACACACACACACACACACACGCACACACAGATCTAAAAGGATGCCAAAGGCAGCGAGAGGGTAAAAATAGTGGGTGGAGCTGACATTTCCTCCCCTCGGGGATGAATAAAGTATCGATTAAAAGGACGCCTGAGATTTAGTGAAATAACAAAATAACACTGCCTGGGAAACTTCACACTGCGAGACAGATGACATCATCGCCGTTCACAGAGTCTGTTCGACTCTTCCTGGGGCTAAAGAGCAGCATCAGCAGAGTCCTGCTTCCCCCCCAAGTCTGAGGGAAGAAACCCACCTAACAGCTCAAAAGTCTGGTCTCTGTCTGGTCTCTTTTCTGATGTTTCCCTTCTCCCGGCGCAGCTTTCCGGTCTGGTGATGATCGGCGTTGGATTCTCCTCCATTGACGGCAACGTTCCAGTTGCTCAGGTAAAGGAGATTTTGACTCTGACACAATCCCATGTTGAAAAAAAAAAAGGTTTCTAACCCATCTCCGTAAATGATGTCTCACTAGCTTTTTTATTTGCTGGTGCCGGCTACCAGTGTTTAACTGAGATGAGACTAAAGACTCACAGATCAGATTAGATTAGATTAAACTTTATTGTCCTTACACAGGTACAGGTACAAGACAACGGAATGCAGTTTAGGTTATGGATATGTACTGAATATATATAGAGATAGACAGAGTACTTAAGTACCAAAATGCAGTATCTTTTTTGATACTTTATTGGAGTATATATTTTTGCCCTACTTT